TTAACAAATTAAAAATAAAGTAAAAAAATTTTTGTCCCCTGTTTAATTTTTTTATAATTAAATAAAAAATTTTTATTATTTTTTTATTTTTTTAACTCAAACATATAAAAAAAGAGAAGAGAAAAAAGAAGAAAATATGATAAATAATAATACATTTCATTTCTCTATTTTTATTTTCAATTGTAATTTTAATATTTTTTTATATAATATAAACTTACACATAAGTTAAGAAAAATAAATATTATATGAATAAAATTTAATTAAAATATTAAATAAAATTGACTAATTTCATAAATACGTGGTTTAATGAATTTAATAGATTATCTTTCAAAAGACTGTCAATTGCGGGATCAGTCTTGTCAATTCTCTCGTGATATCGATAATTTTTTTTGAATAGACCAATTTCAAGAGGCGAAAAATGAGACCCGTGAGCTTTAAATACGTGTCTATAAAAATAATCTCTACTTTTTTTATGGTAAAAAAAAAAATCAAATAACCTCTACTTTAATAAATCGTTGTCGCTCCTGGGCCGCTGGGGCGTGGGAATCTCATCATATCGATGTGTCTTATCATCTCAATAATTGAGAGAGTATGTACCAAGAAATAATAATAATTGAAGAAGACTTGGGTGAGGGAAACAGGATAAGTCTTCTCTTCGCAATGAATGGTGAATAGTCCTACAACTTTCAATAACGCTTGTTCGTGATCGCAAAAATTAATTAAAAGAAAAAAAAAAAAACAGCGCTTGCTCAGGGAAATGTTTTTCTCACTTTTTTTTTTTTTAAATTGTAGATATCTTGTACAATAAGTAGTAATTAAATAGGAGAAAAGTAAGATAAAATTAGGAATTATCTATCTGGATTAAGAAAATACAGAAGAAAAGAAAAAGAGAAAGAAAATCTTATTTTCTCACTTTTTTTACATTTTTCTCTCTTTTCTTACATATAAAATTATATAAAAATAATAAAAAATTATTTTTAAATTATTTTTCTTACATATAATATGTTAGTTTACAGTGTCATTGTTTTTTTCACAAAGTGTAAATTTTATATGTCAAAATATTTTAACATGTTGTGATAAAATAACAGGATAGTTCACAAGATTTCTAGCAGAGGGACTAATTTAGAGATAAATTATCAAATCTTAAGACTAATTTAAAGATCTTTTAGTTGAGGGACTAATTTACAATCCGTATAATAATTGAGAAGTTAACTTTGGGTTTAACTAATTAATTAATTAATTATAATAATTTATGTGATAATAGTATTAAAATAAATATTAATTTTTATAATTTTTATATAAAATTAATTATTATAAAAAATATATATTAAATTATAAAATAAAAATTATTAATTAAAAATTTTAATATTAAAAAAACCATCTTTTTTTCTTGAACAGTATTTAAAAAAACCATTTCACTTAATTTAAATTATTCTATCTAAAACAATTCTAATTATACAATATTTATTTAGATAATTTAAAGCGCATAATATTTTTTTATTAAAATTCCATACTTATCTTCAACTAATCTATTTTAAGGTGTTAATTGCGCTCACAGTTATCGAGGGCAATTTGCTGTCTGCCATTCATCGACTAAATTTTAATATTCATATTTTTAATTTTAAAAATAGGGGCACTTACTCCAAAGTCCAAAGTGTGGGGGGTCGAAAGAAGGCTGTTGCGGGACCAGTCCAATCAATTCTCTCATCATCTCAATAATTGAGCGGCTATATACCAAAATGAAAAATGTGATTGAGAAAGAATTACAAAATGGAAACATGATAAGCCTTCTCTTCACAGTGAATACTGAA